CCCCCCCGCCCCATGCGGGGTCTGGAGCTGCGGGGCTGACGGGGCCCCTCTTTCCATGTGGCTGCACCATGGGCTCGCGCCGGAGGAGGATGGCAGATCTGCTCCTGTACATCAACGCCGCCCTCCTGGCTTATTTCAGCTGTGCCAGCCTGTCCTGGGCAGATGCAGGTAAGAGGGCGGGGGGGGGGGGAGGAAGCGGGGTCCGCGACCCATGACGGGGAGGGAGGGAGGGAGGTCGGCCGGCGGTGGAAAGCAGGTTTCGTTCTGTTCTCGGTGGTTTAATTGCCCAGAACCTCTGGGGCTGCTCCGTCTTTCAACATCTCTCAGCCAACTGCTTCCCTCGCTGGGGCTCCATCTATCTGATCAGTTGAGCGGAGGAGACTCAACAAAGAAGTATTTGTGGGGAGACAGTTGCCGTAGTGAGACAGGACAACACGTTTCACTTGTGGCACTCGCTGCTGCATGTTTCAGGAACAATGAATAATACTCTATTGGGAGTGTACTATTTAAAGATTTTTTCGTTAAAAAAAAGGAAGCAATTTGTGTAATATGGTTTAAGAAGACCTCTTAAGAGTGCACGGAGCCCAAGAAGACGTTACTGGCTGCTGATTGCCGTGAGATTTGGCCTCTGTGCTGAATTCTGTTTATTCAACTGGGCTTGAGAGAAAGGAGCCAATCAGTGGCCCTGGTGACTGTCCTTCCAGTCAGCCAAGTGATTCATTGAGAGATCATATGATGCCATCTCATGTGAAGAAAATCAACTCCCTCGCCTCTCTCAGGAAGGAATTGCCACTCACTGGACCTTCATAGGGCTCAAGTTGTCAGAAAAACCCCAGGTCTAAACAGGATTCCTAAGATGTGGGAGAGACGCGACAGATATAACTGTTAACAGTGATTTCCTCAGAACCAAACAACTTTGGACAGCAGGTAATCGAACCAGAACTAGTGAAGTCGGCATCAGCAGCTGGAGTCAAAGCAGTCTCCCATCACAGAAGTGGTTTTCCAGATTATTAGCAACACAGGTCTGTAGCTGGGAAACCCCCTCTGGTCCCCCATCTTTCTCAACAATGTACCTGTTCTCTATGGGGAGGAGTTATGAAACCAATACAAACCTGTAGGTCTTAATAAAATAGGAGCTCCAATTGTTTAAGGAAGTCCTGGGAAGATTGGTGGGGGGCATCCAGCACTAAGAGATCAGAGATGAAGACAAGAAAGAAAGAAAGAAAGAAAGGAAGGAAGGAAGGAAGGAAGGAAGGAAGGAAGGAAGGAAGGAAGGANGCAGACACAGAAGCTGCAAAAATTGAAGGGCATTTGCCAGCAAAACTGTATCTTCTTCCCTTCTTGCCTGAAGGATAAGAAACCTGTTAGACGTCGGGTAGATGATCATCTAAACAGATACGTGACCAGGAATTCGGGAGCAGCTGTGTTAAGCTGCTACCATCAGTAAGCTCTGCCCAGGAAGTCTATGGGACTTTGTTTGTTGTTGATGGTTTAATCGGAGCTGCCCTTGGTAGGAGCACATCTGGCGTGTTCCTGGTGGAGGTGAAGACTTGGGTTTTGTAGGCCGACGCAAAGGTTCTTTCCCTTGTGTCTTGTGTGGGACTGTTAATCGGTCCATGGTTCGGAACACGTTTTTTGCTCCCTGGGGACACTGGCCTTCTAAAGGCATGAGCTTGGGAATCGGTATACATCATTGTTTGCTCATGGACAAAATCTGCAAGGACAGCAAAGGGGGGGATCTTGTCTTTGATTGTTCGCCTTGTAACGCGAATAAACTTTGATCCATTCTTCAATTAACGGTTCTGGTAACTTTCGAACGATATGTAGCTGCATCGCATATTGGTCGAGGTGTAACATACCATTTAGTTCAGGGTCCTGCTGAGCTAACCTTAGTTGCTTAATGAGTGTGGAGAATGACCACAACTAGTCATGGTTGTGCCAACTGATATTAGGGAAATTGTTGATCTGCTTCAAGAGTGTGCCTTCGGTCATCACAGATGCACCATACCGCCTATCAAGTTCTTCCCAAGCCTCTTTACAGACTGTGACTGGATCCTTCAGATAGGTGCGGTAGGTACTTGTAACCATTTTTGCAGACTTTGGGCCTAGCCAGGCCATCATATGTATGATCTCTCTGTCTGGCTGCACATTCTCGGCATGAACAGCCCGTAGGAAGATGTGCTTCCATATTCGATAGGGTTGGCCTGGTGTGTCAGAGAACTTCTGTGTTCCTTGAGATCCCAAGTCCACCTTCCTCCGGCAGGACTGCCATTCTACTCTGGTCTTGTATGCTGGGGGAGATGGTATGGTGTGCTCCAGGACTTTGGTGGGTTCAGGACCAGCGGTCTCCTGTTGGCTGTTGCGATCTGTGGGTGTAGACACGGTTGCCAACAACAGCTGATATTTTCCTTCAGAAAGATTCTGAGTGGCTTCATTTTGCCACGGCGTGGGCAGAGGTTGTTTTTGATGTTGCTTACTCTGTTCATCGATGTTCAAATTGCCTTGCAGTATTGGCTGGAAATCCTTTGCTTCGGCGTTGAGGTTGCTAATTGCGGCTACTTGGTTGAAGATTATTCGCTGTCACTGGGGAATTGTTGTGGGCGCCTCGTGTGCCTGGAGTTGTCAGGGTAAATTCTCCCACTCCAAGGGAGGGGTCGAGTGATGCAACTTGAAGAACGTGATCCACCTCATTAGTTTGTTGAAAAGCATAGTTTTTTCACTGTTCTGGATCCGGTGTGCATCCATGCCAGGGCCCAGTCAGCTTTAAACTTCACGCTTTAGGATTGGTGTCTCTCAGATCAATTTATTAACAGGAATTCTTAGTAGCAAACATACAGTTCAATATTAAGATACGTCTGACCTTGATCTGTCCATTGCGTGATGTGAAAAAACTATGCTTTTCCATTCCTCTGATGAAGCGGAGGTGAGGATATATGCGTTTAGCCCGTTGTTCTCAATTAACATGGAAAACTCTTCAAGGAGCGTCTGGTAATAAATCACTTTTCCCAGGCAGAGTACCCCGCTACCCAATCTGGGAACACAGATGTGGTCACATGTTATGGAACTACATTTCCTACAAGGCAGTTCTGCCTACATTTCCCATAAGGTAGTTGTATCTCCTGTGAGGTACTTTCTTAAAGGAGACAGATCTTAATTCTTACACTAGCTATATACTGTTGGGACAGCACAATAATGGTGATCAAACACATTGAAACATAGATTGGAGAGCAAGAATCCAAAATAGCTATGCAAATTAGAATACATTTGGAATTGAATACAGCAGCATAACTAATTGGTTGTCCTGTAATCCAGTGAAATCAGGATAATGAGGCAAGGCGAATGGGACTCCAAAGACCTTGGTCCCCTAAATTGGGCAAAGGCTGTGCTCTTGGATGTGCTCCTTCCTCTACTAGGTCCACTCTCCTGGGAACTTGTCCTCCTCAGCTGTTCCTGTCTCTTGATATCCCAGGCAACATCCTTGTCTCTTAAATGTTTCTTTGACTTTCATATGGGTAGTTTATGTTCCCAGGGAAAGGGGATTGGGAAAGGGGTGATTTTACTTGTCCAAATGAACACAATTTATCTGCTTCATTTACACTATCTTGTTGAGGCAGATGCCTGCAATTCACACAACTGTAGATAGGCAGATGAGCCCTGAGGCTGCAGATGTATGAAGCTGCCCTTTCAATGGGAAAGGTCTTGCTCTGTTTCTAGGCCTGATTGAGGCAATCAGTCCAATGTCATACCGGACTTTGACATCAGTCCTTCCCACGGTCCTTGTGAAAATAAAATAACCCACATTATTAACTCCTCCTGCTAATTAGCTTATATAATTTGCAACCCAGAGGTCTTGGATGGTCCCATTGCTACAAAGAAATGCTTTATTAATAACAGAGGTCATGGGTTTTAAGAAATTGCAGATATTCTCCCACCCCCAACCTAAAAGTACCCTGGATGTCCAACTTTTTCCGTCAATTGTGGCCTCCAGTTTAATGAGGTGACGTGGTCTGCCTCTCCAGGCATAGCACATTTCTCTCCCTGGGCCAGACCATATGCTCCGTTTCTTCCTGTTTGCATTAGGAGTCAACACACACACAGCACAATCACCAAAATTAAAGGTGCCCTTGCATTTCACACAACCGTCCTTGAGGATTCAGATTGTGAAACAATGTGGGACTCTGGAAGTGCCAGTGTCTAGGAGACACTGTGGAAGATTTATGAAGGTGCCTTTAATATGGTTGTACATGCCAGTGGGGGG